GAGCACCTGCACAGCAAAAAAAATTTTCAATAAGCACACAACCTATATAATGGGAGAAAATATTCACAAACTACACATTTGACAAAGGTCTAATATCCATAATCTATTAAAAACTTAAATCAACAAGCAAAAAAACAAATGACCTCATCAAAAAATGGGCAAAATACATGAATAGACACTTCTCAAAAGAAGATATACAAGCAGCCAGCAAACATATGAAAAAATGCTAATTATCACTAATCATCAGAGAAATGCAAATCAAAACCATGATGAGATGCCATCTCACACAAGGCAGAATGGCTATTATAAAGCTAATAAATAGTAGTTATTTCTCCATACCTAGGGAGGCTATGGAGAAAAGGGAATACTTATACACAATTAGTGGGAATGTAAGTTAGTTCATCCACTATGGAAAGCAGTTTGGAGATTTCTCAAAGAACTTAAAACGGAGCTACCATTTGACCCAGCAATCCCATTGTTGGGTATGTACATGTATTAGTCTGTTCTCACACTGCTAATAAAGACATACCCAAGACTAAGTACTTTATAAACAAAAAGAGGTTTAATGGACTCACAGTTCCCCATGGCTGGGGAGGCCTCACAATCATGGCAGAAGGCAGAGGAGGAGCAAAGGTGCATCTTAAGTGGTAGCAGGCAAGAGATCATGTGCAGGGGAACTGTCCTTTATGAAACCATCAGCTCTCATGAGGCTTATTCACTATCACGAGAACAGCACGGGAAAACCCGCTCCCATGATTCAATTGCCTCCTACTAGGTCCCTCACACTACACTTGGGGATTATGGGAGCTACAATTCAAGATAAGATTTGGGTGGAACACAGTGAAACCATATCAATACCCAAAGGAAAATATATCATTGTACCGAAAAGAAGCCAGTCCTCAAATAAAACCTTCATTATTGAGACTCTAATGAGCTTCCCTGCTAGGTGGTATTTCATTTGTGTTGTCAAAATCCACTGCTGGAGGAATTAATGCCTCCTGTGTGACTCCACTGGAGAGGATTCTTGGAAGCTGTGCCTGGTTTCCTCTGAACTTTATCCCATGTGCCTTTTCCATTTGTTAATTTTGTTTTATATCCTTACACCATAATACATCATAGCCATGAGTAAAATTATACACTGAGTCCTGTGAGGTCTCTTAGCAAATCATAGCATCTGGCATTAAGGATCCCTGACTCATAGGATTACAAGCACCATTTTCTTATTGTTTACATTTGCCCCTACAACATTGAGCATCTTTTCATTGTTAACCTTTCTGAATCATTTTGTTTTGGATTTCTCCCTTGTATCCAGAATATTGTTTTGTCTTGCCTTGGGAGCCAAATTGAAAATCTTTTTCTTTTAATAGATGAATTGAGCTCATTTATATTCATCACATTACTGATATATTTGGTCCCAACTTGGTCATATTATTTTCTATGTGTCTTATGGTTGTATGTGTGCTTCTTTCTTTCTTTCTCTGAGTGACAATATATTTTTTAAAAATACCATTAGTCACTTGTTTCCTTATTAACCTTTCATACTTTGATTTGTTGGTTTTTACTGATATTCTTTAATTCCAGCCTATTAACTGTACATTAATCAATAACCTTATTCTACTTTTCTCTTATTCTCTTCCTTCTCTATTTTTAAAGTTGCACTATTTCAACTTCATTAGAACGTACATTTATATACTAGTTTCCTATTCTTGTCTCTATCTTTTTTTAAAGGCTCATATAGATCTACAATTAAATATGTTAAATGTTCCCTATCAGCATCAGCTTTTTTCCCCCAAAGTTATTTCTTAGCTGGATGAAACTCATCGTGTAGTAGATTCCTAATGAGTACCAAATTCCCTGGGTTCTTGCATGTTGAAAACTATTTTTGTATGGCCTTGATACTTAAAAGACTAGCTTGGCTAGATACAATTCTTGATGCACATTTTCTTTCCATGGGGTTTTTTTTTTTTAAATTGCTCCTCCATTACTGCCTTACTTCTTATGTTGTTTTTGAGAAGTCTGATGGTAGTCTAATTCTCTTGTCTCTGTAACACCTGCAGAAAAATTCTTTAGCCTTAAAATCTAATAATTTTAAAAGGCTATATCTCATAGTTGATTGTTGTGGGTAATTTTCCAAGGAACCCTGTAGGCCCTTTCGATATATACATTCAAATTTTCTTTTCTTGAACTATAGTTAAAAATAAATGTTTGCTGTATCCTCTTCTTTTGTTTTCCTCTTACAGACACACCAATTATATGTATGTTATTTCTTCTTTGCCTGTCTTCCATTATAATTATTTTCTCTCTGAACCACTTTACTGATTTCTCGATCTTATTTTCATTCATTCTCTTGGTTGTTTTCTTATCTTTCTTCTATACTCATTACTTTGGTTTCCCATCATTCTTCTAGTCATGTTAAACTCTTGACCTTATTCTCCTTTGAGCACTGTGTAATTTAGTCTTCATTTCTGAGATGATTTCATCTTTTTTCCCTTCCATTTATATTTTTAAATTTTAATGTTTAATTCATTGTGGCTTTTTGTATATTTGAATGCTTCTTTGAGAATATTTACTTCAGTGTGTAGTGTTGTTTTTGCTTCATGGTTGTTAGTAGACTTGCATGTAGTTAACCTATTTTAATTTCTTTAGCTCAGGGATTGGGTGATTTATACGATTTTTAGTTCAAGAGCATTCTGTTCTCTCAGTGCAGCAAAATGAAATATGTTTTATTTTATTTTATGGTGACAGGAAAAATGTTGGATATACTCTCATTTATTTGATTTTTTCTTGAGACAGAGTCTTGCTCTGCTGCCCAGGCCGGAGTGCAGTGGCATGATCTTGGCTCACTACAGCCTTTGCCTCTGGAGCTCAAGTAATCTTCCCACCTCAGCGTCCCAAGTAGGTTCTTTTTTGTTTTACAGAACTTACATTTTCAGTAGTTGCTTCATTTTCTCTGCACCATCCAATGTTCATATAATGCCTCATCTTCTTTAGAAATTTTTAAAACTTTTTAATTTTTATTTTTAACCTTATTTCCTCCCCCAGAACTAATGGAATCTTGAGTAGCCTTCACTTTTAAGTCTCCTTCCTGTAGTCAGTCCTCTGATACACCAGGACTTTTTAAAATCATTTTTGCATGTAGGATAGGCTTCTTTCTGGCTGTGACTTTAGATTAACCTCAGCTTCTTAGATTAACTGCTAGCTCCTTGCTTCTCTCTTTTGTAGATTTCCCAAGGACTGGCCTCACTGTCTGCAAAGGCTGTGGCAGGAGCATGAGGAAGAAAGCTCATTGGTGTATGTGTTTATTTTTCTTCTCAGAGGTAATTTGACACTTGGGTATTCTCTTTCTTTCAGCTACTTCCTAAGGGTATAAATTTTGTTTAGTTTTATTTCTTTTTCTTGTAGGTTCTTACTAATTTTGGAAGATATGTGGGTGATTCATATTTAGACAGTTGCAATTATCCTTGGCTCTCTGAATTGAAAATATAACTTTTAATTACAAATGTTATAGTCATAATTTAAAAAAATAATTGTCTAAGGGAGAGAAAGTTGATGAATCAGAAAACTATTTTGGTACCAGAAAATCTGGTAGTTAGTAAATGAAATAAGGTTGTGGAATATCCTCCTTAGTATAAGTATTAATGCAAAAAACACAAAAATCTAGGATGAAATTTTAGAATTAGAACATACATGAAGTCAATTTGCAAAGTTAAAATTATGAAAGAGGCCAAACCAACATGGCAGGAGCTTACAGCTTTTGAATTGATGATTTAAAATAATGTAGCTGAGAATAAGAATTCCACCATAAGCAGAGACAGTAGTAGATGGAAAATGTTGTTTGCTTTTAAAATCATACCATGACAGTTACAACCATATTTTGATGAATAAAGAGATTGAAACACTATGCTAATTTTAAGTTACATAGGAATGTATATATAACGGATATTTATGACTGACAAATGGGTAAATTTTAAGTTTGAAAATTACAGTATCATTTTGGTGTCAAGAAGAAAAGATATTTGCAGTATTTTGAGGGCCGCATTCCTATTTTTCCACACAGGAGATTAGGTTACTCAGAAATGTAGGAGAGAAGCAAGTCAAGGAATAATGCTTGTTTCTTTACCTTCTCACGTCAATCACCTTGGTAAGTGTGCTTTTGAGTCTAAAAATTGGGACAACTAAGATAAAACTTTTATGTGTAGAATACTATTTTCAAAGTCTTCAAGCATGCTTTAGTTAGTGCTTGCATTTGAGTGGCTATGGATAGATGCCATTATATTTATTTTCTAAAGGGCCCCAAATAGTGAAACACCATGTTTTTGTTTTAATAAAACATTAAACATGTAATGAAAAATGACTTTAGTAAAAGACATTGTGTTGGCTGGTGAGTCACCCTGGCTCTGACTGTGTTTCAGCATCCTCAACAGCCAGGATTACTTTCCCAAAAACACGTGCACATGGATCGCTAATGATAAGTAACTGTTTCTCCAGATATTTTAACGCCTTTTTTTTTTTTTAGGAGTCTCACTCTGTCACGCAGGCTGGAGTGCAGTGGCGTGATCTCGGCTCACTGCAAGTTTGCCTCCCAGGTTCACGCCATTCTCCTACCTCAGCTTCCCAAGTAGCTGGGACTACAGGCACCTGCCACCACGCCTGGCTAATTTTTTGTATTTCTTAGTAAAGATGGAGTTTCACCGTGTTAGCCAGGATGGTCTCTATCTCCTGACCTCATGATCTGCCTGCCTCAGCCTCCCAAAGTGCTGGGATTACAGGTATAAAACACTATGCCGGGCCCTATTTTAATGCTTTTAAAAAATTATTTCATGCTCAACAGGACAATTTCTAGAGAACAAATATTATTTTCAAATTTTACCATTTAGAGATTAGGCACATGCCAATTTTCACATACAGAACATTTAGAGATAAGAAAGAAAAAATATATATTACTTAATTTCACAAAAATTGAGAATATTATAAAATAGTTTTAGACAGAGTAAATATACCTTTATTTGAGAAATAATTGTGTGAAAATTCTTATCATCCTCGAATACTGCTGCTAAACTTGGCCCAGTTCCACAGGTTTTTTCTTCAAGTTTGTTGTTAATATAAGGGCTGGTGAAAGCATCAAAATACGAATCAGGCACGAGATTAGGAACTGATAACACAGTGTTTTGACAATGATTAACTGCGCCCAAAATACCATCCTGTCAACGAGAAAGGCATAAACATAAATGTAAATGCGCATGTTTATAAATTCTTTTGAATTTTATGAAATGCTAAAATAAATAAGAATAACTTATTCAACCAGGCTGGGTATTGTGCTGATTCTGAGTGTACGACAAATCAAAAGACATGGCCCTACCTTCAGAACACATGTTTTCTAATTGAGAGAGACAAAATAATTGCAACACATGGTGATGAGTTCTACATTTGAAGTGTGAACAAAACACTAGCAGGTCACAATGGAAGGAAAGCCAAGGAAGTCTATGGGAAAATTTAAAGGGAGGGTTAAAAGTTTATATTCTTTGAGTAGTAATTTATATTCCAGAAAGCTAATCTATGGGAAAAATAGAAATGTAAACAAAGATTTATGTGCAAGGACAATCACTGCAGTATTTCTTGTATTAATAACTAGAGAAACACTTAAGTGTTCAAAAGTAGAAGTATAGTTATATAAGTTCTGGTGCCTTTATACAATGGAAAATTACATATCCTTACAAAATGGCATCTCCCAAAAATAATTAATGACATGAGAAAAAGCTTGTGATATAATGTTAAGTTTGAATAAAAGAGAGTGAGCAGGATATAAAACTGGTATATCATATTATCTCAATGTAAATATGTATCTATATCTATCTCTGTAGATAACCTCATGGTAATTATGTATGTCAGCATATCAGTATGCACTAAGACAAGACTGGACAGAAGCATATAAAAATGTTAATGGGTTTTTATTTTTGGTACATAATATTATGGATTATTTTAATAATCTTTTCCTGTGTTTTCCAAAGTCTCTTCAATGAGCATGTTTAGTTTGTAATTTATAATAAATATAAAGTCTAATTAGAGAAAATGAGATAAAGAAAAGGTAAGTCTTTAAATGAGTCTCAAAAGATGAAGAGGAGCTTGTCAAGTATATCAGACAACAGTATAATCCTTGCTAAGTCATTGTGTGTGGGACCCAAGGGGCAGGCAGGTGAGTCATTTAGGTACTGGAGCATCAGCACTGCAGTGCAGAAGGAGGATACTCTGCAGACGCAGTCAGCCCCTTCATGAAAGGCCTTGTGCATGATGCCAGTGTTAGCCCATTGGTCAGCAATCCCCAAACTGTGACTGGGGACTACCCAGAGGATAAAGGGTCCCAACTTCCAAGGTAAATTTGAGAAGAAATCTTGAGTTACACGAAGTTAAACAGGAATTTTCTCAGGACCTGCTAAACAGGATTTTTTATATCTGTTAATATACAAATGTATATCACAACCCCCTTTGTCTTGGAATACTTATCAACAACTCACAGAACATCTTGTGAGAGATGCTACTACAGGCAATGGAGAAATTTTAAGCAGGAAAGGGACATGATTAGATTTGCTTATGAGAATAATCTTGCTGTCAGCAATGTGGAAAATGGATTAGAAGGGAAAGAGGCAGGCAGATGAGAGCAGACTATTTCAGCGGGCCAGAAGAGAGATGATGAGGTCCCAATGGAGAAGAGTGGCAGAGTGGGTGCAACCATGGTTCAGCACACAAGAACTGATGACCTGATCTCAAGGAGGTAAGGGAGACTCTAGGGGAACTCCCAGATTGCTGGCTTGGAAATCTGGGCATCTAGGAGAACTCCCAGATTGCTGGCTTGGGCACCTTTCATTGAGATGGAGACAGGGAGGGAGGAGCAAGTTTTCGAAGAAATTGATAAGTTCCATTCATATTGGTGAATTGAAGTTAACTGTGGGACATTCAGGTGAAGATTTCCAGATGACCATGAATGAGACTTAAAAGAAAAGTATTGGATCTATAGATATAAAAGAGGCTCTTGGAAAGATGACTGAGAAGGAAAAAATGTTGCTACAGAAATAGAAACCAAAGGAGGAGTCTATTTCAATTAAACCAAAGGAGAAGTCTATTTCAATTAAACCAAAGGAGGAGTCTATTTCAATTAGCAGAAGCAGTAAACAGAATCAAATGCAATGGGAGGTTTGTCTCACACGGCAAGAAATATTAGAATTCAAAAGTATATATTGAATCAAGTGTTAGGAAACCATAGGTAACCTAAGCAAGAGCAAAGTAAGAGATCATGACTTAGGTATATAATTTTCCTTTAGATTAATCTCTGTATGTATGTGTGTTTGGAATCATTGGGAATGATTAAGGCTAATGACTAAAATTGTAGTGAAAAAATAGAAAATTTATGAATAATAGTCCTATTTATACTTCTATTGTCTGATTTTTGGGTTATATGAAATAAAATCTTATTTTGGTATGGATGGACAAGCACGTTAATTATTCCCAAAGCTTGGCCATGTATGTTTCATATGTAGAAGTTAAAAATACCCATGTGGGAAACAGGGTCCTGTAATAGGAAATGGGAAGCGTATTCAGTTTTTTGAGGCCCTCCCCTTGGGGGTAAAAGACAGCCAGCTGCTTGTGAGAGAGCCTCCTTTTGTCATCTGTAGTCCAGGACACCTGCATCCCATGTGAAGGACATGAGTCTTGTGGCCAGGAGGGGACATGAGAGTCCAGTGCCTCTTGGCATGGGAGCTCCTGAGCGAGCTTCCAATCACAGGGACCTCAGTAGTCTGTTTATCATTGTAAATGCCTTCAAACTGCCTATCCCATAAATTACAGAATCATAGACTGCTGGAAGAGGAAGCAACGCTAGAACTCATATGCCTTCTCATCATATAAATGCAGAAACTGAACCACAGAAGTGGTTTTCCCAAAGTCAAATAGCTTATTAATTGTAAAGCCAAGACTAAAATCTAGAGATCTTGATTACTAGTGCTTTTGAATCAGAGTACAGCAGCTAACAACAGAAGATACAGACTTTGACTGGTTTACTAACCTATGCACCTATGCAAAGATAGGAGGCAGAATTCTAAGATGACCCCCAAAATTCCTGCTCCTGTATACACATGCTGTTCAATCCCCTCGTTTTGAGTGTGGGTGAGAGTTGTGAATATAATGCGATGCCAGTCCCATGATTAGGTTATGTGATGTGGCAAAGGTGGGGGGGATATTGCAGGGGCCCAACTCAGTTGTTTTCAAGTTAGTCAAAAGTGATTACCCTTGATAGATGTGACTGAATCAAGTGAAAGCCCTTAAAAGAGGGATTGAGGCCTTCCTAAGAGAATGGTCCATTTGGCCTTGAAGAAGTGAACAGCCATATTGTAAGCTGCTGAGAGAGTGGGCCACATAGCAAGGAACTACAGATGGTTTCTAGGACCTAAGTAGGGTGGTCCTTGGCTGACACCCCTTAAGGAAATGGGGATCTCAGTCTTTACAGTTGCTTAGAGCTGAATTCTTCCAGCAGTCTGAGGGAGACCAAGACCTTGAAATAGAGGATAATCTGAGTAGCCAGTGAAGCTCCTGACTTACAGAAACTGAGATGATTCATGAAGGATGTTTCCAACTGCTAACTTTGTGGTAACTTGTTACACTGCTATAGATAACTAAGACAACAAAATTCTCTAGGATCCAGCATACCTTTAAAAAGATTTCAAAAATGGTATTTACAGGCTGGGCATGGTGGTTCACACCTGCAATGCCAGCACTTTGGCAGGCAGAAGCAAGCGGATCACTTGAGCCCAGGAGTTCAAGACCTGCCTGGCCATCATGGCAAAGACCTATCTCTAAAAAAAAATAGCCAGGCCTGGTGGCATACACCTGTAGTCCCAGCTACTCAGGAGGCTGAGGTGGGAGGATTGCTTGGGCCTGGGAGGTTGAGGCTGCAGTGAGCTAAGATCACATCACTGCATTCCAGCCTGGGTGACAGAGTGAGTCCCTGTTTCAAAAAAGAGAGAGAGAGAGAGAGAGAAAGGAAGGAAGGAAGGAAGGAAGGAAGGAAGGAAGCAAGGAAAGAAGGAAGGAAGGAAGGGAGGGAAAGAAAGGAAAAGGTATTCACAACAGAGTGATCTCTTGAGTTGTTCTTAAAGGGATCCCTATAGTCGCTTTTAAATTTTGTATAGAATGTTTTCCTGTACCTTACAAAGCCTCTAATCTGACTCAAGTTAAAGATAATGTGCTAAACTTTTAGATAGTTTATATATAGCTATAATGCTGTGACAAAACAATGCTTTCTCTCTTTCTCATGACCATCTTGGAGTAGTGACAACTGCAATTCTGATAATCAATTGACAGCAAAATAGCTGCTTCATTTTCCAAAAAGGTGCTTGCATGTGAGTAATACATGAAAAACACACACCAGAAAGTCTTCCAGAGAAGGCTCAAAGAGAAGTGACTGGACCGTCAACATTAGTTCTGTGAGAAACATGGGGATGAGAGATTCATCTTCTTCTTGCTTTTCCACCACAAGGGTCCCCTGAAATGAGTATATTTACAGTGTTATAAAGACACAAGTATCAAGGTCTAAAACAAAATTAAAAAACAAGGGACATGTAAACTGAAGTTTATATAATTAGCTGAATTCATAATCTTGGCATGCGGAAAGTGTTTCAGAGAATAATAAAGAACAGAAAGAAAAAAAGGCAAATATTGAAAGGCTACATAACAATTTAAACCTTTTCTCCTTGTAAAAATACTACCAACAAAATGGAAAGGTAAACAATAAACTAGGAAGACATATCAATAATGTATATAGCAGATAAAAAGTTGATAATATTTTAATAAAACTATAGTTGATATACTTAATAGGACTATATGCCAATAATATATTAATGAATCTTTACATAGAAATATATTCAAATACATATATACTTAAGTAGAAAAATGGGCAAAGGACATAATCTGAGAATTCTTGAAAGCAAAATAGAAATGATGAAGTCACCTCCTTATTCTTCTCTTCCTTAAAATAGTTTATTCAGTAACAACATTTGCAGAGAGTTTATGTGCACCAGGCACAATGCTGGGTATTTGTGTAATTCCCACACCAATCTTCTTAAACAGGTTCCCTTATTGTTCCCATAGGATGAAAATGGGATTCGGAGAAGGTAGAATGCTTCATCCAGATCATACTAGCTAGTAGGTGGCAGACCAGAATTCAAACTCTGATATTTCTGATTCCTAGACTCATGCCTTTATTCCTGCCCTGGGGTCATAATTACAAGAATACAACATTTGAAGGCAGTGATATCCCACTTTGTATATTACTGATGCAGATTAAAATGAACGGTAATATTATTTAGTACGCATATGGGTAAATGCTTATTCTTTTTTTTTTTTGAGACGGAGTTTCACTCTTGTTGCAACAAGAGTGAGCAATTCATTGAGAGCAATGAAGCGATCTCAGCTCACTGCAACCTCCGTCTCCTGGGTTCAAGTGATTCCTCTGCCTCAGCTTCCTGAGTAGCTGGGATTATAGGCACCCACCACCACGCCCGGCTAATTTTGTACTTTTAGTAGATATGGTGTTTTAGTATGCTGGCCAGGCTGGTCTCGAACTTCTGGCCTCAGGTGATCCACCTACCTGGGCCTCCCAAAGTGCTGGGATTACAAACATGAGCCACCATGCCTAGCCTAAATGCTCATTCTTAAACATTGCTGTAAATTGACAAAGCTTTCTGGAGAGTATATGTCAGTGTGTATGTATCAAAAGCCTTAAAAATGTGCATATTTCTGACTCAATTTCACATCTAGGAATTTTTTTCTAAGGGGAAAAATCTGAAATGTGTGAAAAATGTATAGACAAGGATACCCTTTAACAGCATTATTTGAAATAGTGGGAATGTGATAATTGAAAATTATTTACAAGAGTATATTTCTCTGTGAGAATATCACATGGAAAAATAAATGTTGACGGGAAATATTTCATAATACTGTATTGCTAAGAGGAAGATGCAAGGGATAAAGCAGTAAGGAAAGTATATCTTTTTTTCCCTTTGAAGTAATTATCTTTGGGTAGTAAAGGTGCTTTTCTTTGTATATTTCTGTGTTTTCCTAATTTTGTCACTTAGCATAAATTACTTTTAGAATAGAAAAATAAATGTGACTTTTAAAATTTTGATACTATTTATAAAAAGGAGAAATTCAGAATAGGGGAGGAAAGAAAGCTATGAAAAGGAGTACATGACTATGATTTAACTTTTGGAAGAAAGGGAAACTAAGGCTGAAAGCAACAGGTCTTGTATAATTAGGTTTCTGTGGAGCAGGAGACTTAAGCTGTGAGGGTAGGAAGTTAGATGAAATGAGATGAGCATATTTTGCTCACCTTGATGAAATCAGGTGAGCATGTAGGTATTCTGGAAGGAAGCTATTAGTACTAAGGATGGAGCTAGGGCAAAACTTACTGGAAATTTGAATATGAGATAATATGATCTTTCTTTTAGCTATGCTGGAATGCACGAATTTGTACTACTTCATCCAAACTTCTCAAAGTACTCTGTGTCTTTAAGATCAACATCCTCATAAAAGGCCATTCCCTCAAAGCACAGTAATTTGCTTCTTTTCACCTCTAAACTATTGTTTATCTCTTTTATTTATACCACTTTTCCTGCTTCTCCCTGCCAGTTTATGCCCACAAGGAGCATTTATGTCCCCACGAACTATAAGCTTTGGGGGACAAAGATCCTATCTATGCTTTTCACCACTATCTACTCAACATCCAGCACAGGAATTGGCACAGAGTAGGTACTTAAGAAATATGTCAATGAACATATGAGTAAGCTTTAGCAAGTTCCTGTGACAGGAACTTTCTCTCAGTATGGTGGATTTTTACTCTATTATTAGATACTTGTTGATATGCTGATTTTCAGTCTGCCATTTCATGTGTATTGTAGACTTTGATTATAACATGAAATACTCTATGCCCGGGGTCCCCAACCCCCGGGCCATGGACCAGGTACAGGTCCAGGCTGCACAGCAGGAGGTGAGCAGAGGGTGAGCGTTACTGCCTGAGCTCTGCCTCCCCTCAGATCAGTGGTGGCATTAGATTCTCGTAGGAGCCCAAACCCTACTGTGAACTGTGCATGTGAGGGATCTAGGCTGCATGCTCCTTATGAGACTCTAACTAATGCCTGAAGATTTGAGGTGGAACAGTTTCATCCTGAAATCATCCCCCAGAGTCTGCAGAAAAAATTGTCTTCCATGAAACTGGTCTCTGGTGTCCAAAATGTTGGGGGCCGCTGCTCTATGCATTTCTCTCTTTTTTTAGTGCACAGAGAATAGCATTATTCATAGAGCATAGTTTGTGCTCCTCAATAAATGCTGACCAATAAAATATTCTTAATTTTGTGTGAGTATACCTTTTTATCAGGGACTTCAGGCTTCTCTTCAGTAATCCATTTCTGAATGACATCTGCTGAAGGTGTTCGTTTTAGCTTGTCAGTGAGATGGTTCAAAAGCGAATTAACAGCATTTACGGTTAAGACATGCATTGTGTTCTCAATTAGATAGTCGTTTAGACGAATAAAGCTTGAAAAGAAAAAAACAAATACAACTTCAGTTTTTTATATTCACTACATATTTTTGACAGTGCCTCTAAAGCAAATATTTAAAATGTAAAATATCATAATTTCTCCTTGAATTTCCATTTAATTATACTGCAATATCAGATATGTATTGTCCAGAAGAGTTGTTCTTAGATATTTTTCCTTTTAAAACACAAATATATTCAAATATGTAGCATTAATTCAGTTAGATGTTCTAACTTTTCAATAGAATATTTAATGAGTAATATAGCTGTTAGGGAAAATGCATCTAGTTTATCTAGCTAAAAGGGCCATAATTTTTTTAAAAGATGCTTTAAAGGAGAAATCAATGCATACAACATCTGTAACTTGCATTCTAATAGTAAAAGTGTAAAATTTTTGCTATTGAATAAATGTTGATGGCAATTGCTAACCCAAAGGTTTGAATTTTATGTTTCCTTACTTGAGTGCCTACTTAGAATGCAGACTGAGTCAGCAAGACATTTAGAATAGTTCTATTCTGCCCAAGTGGAGCTCTAAGGACTCTAATACTTTTAGGCCCACTATGGTAGCCTCAGAGACTGATTCACTGATTTCTGTTGCTACACAGATATTTTCATATATAAACTGAGATACCGTTAAGATGTTTTACATAACTGCAAAAGTTGGATTAAGTCTGTGAGGAATGAATAACAATAATCAGTATTTTAGAGTTCCAAAGACATGAGGTTTTAGAATGATGGGAAATCCAAATTCTGGAACAGTCAAGGTCAAGATCCAGTTGGGTAAGCAGGTGTCAGAGCTAGTGCTAATGAGAGTCCCCTGGTAAGGTCCTAGGAGGGATATCTCTCTCTCTGGCTCCCAGTGGTAAATACCATTTTAGGGATTGGGTGCACCTTTGTGAACTTATGCAGCTGCCTATAGTTCTTTTGTGACCAAAAAGATGGAGCAAGTCCTCCAGGCCCACTTGAGGAGGTCCATGAATCTGTGTGCCTGATTTCTCTCTGCCACAGCCTGCTGTACTGCAAGTCTCCATGCCCAGGCTGGGCCAGAGGGAAACAAAGCCAGAGAGATCAAAGAGGAGCTTTTGGTCTTGGCCTCATGCTCTGTCTCTACCAGCTCACGGTCCCATAGCTGCTTTGGTTGGTGGCAGTTTGAAGAGGGGGTCCTCTGGGCCGTGCATTCAGGTTACCATGTCCCACAAATTTCTCATCACCATTCATGAACAATGTGGTGAAGGGTTCCATTTTTTTTTCCAAGTGAGACATCACTTAGGTCCTAGAAAAGATTCCACTTTTCATTTTAATTTTTTATTGTGTGTACTTAAGGTATACAACATGATGCTTTGATATACATAGTGATATGATTACTCCAATTATGCAAATTAACATACTCATCACTTTCTGGGGTTTAATGTTTAATGAAGCTTAAGATGGATACTACAATTTTACTTGAAAATGAGAATAGTCTTACCACGTCAGCCTCATGCAATGATGCCTTTTGCTGGCCTGTTCTGTATACGTCATTTTCTCAGAGTCTCCATAAGTGGGCAAGTCCCATGGCATATTAATGAAACTTATACTGCTCTGCATTTTATGATAATCTAAGAATAACAGAAGGCACAACAACAAGTGTACTTGTATAAAAGTTCCATCTCTTTCAATATGATTCAAAGAAAAGATAAATAAAATTCAAAAACAACAAAATATTTTGGTACATGAAGCATTTCAAACCTGCAAAACAGCCCAATTATCCAAAATAAGTTTACATCAAAGGATTTCAATTCAACAAGATTGTAGACAGTTTACTGACATTCTCATTAACAGGATTTGATCTGCCTACTATGCTACGTCTTTCCTAGGAACAGCTTTACCCTCCTTTTCTACCTATTATTTAGTCATCCTTTATAGTACATGCCAACCGAGTCAATCCTAAGGTCAATCCAGTCCCTTAATTTTAACAAACCTATTGTATGTGCTAGTAGACTGGACGTACCTTTAAGCAGAGAGATGCTGAGTCCACTCTAAAGTACTTATTAATCAAGATTCTGTATGCAGTTTAGAAATACTATATACAAACAGGAGTAATGGGAGAAACATGCAGTATTTTCTATTTCCCTCCCTTCCACAAAATATATTAAATTTATAACATCCATCAAATGTTTGGAACAATTCAAACATAGAATCATTATTTAAACTTAAGAAAAGTAAAATTAAAAAGGGCTGAAATTTTAGAAAGCCACTACTTCTGATATTTTGAGGTTCTTTCCCCTTCATACCCTTAACAGGTCCAAAAGGACAGTCATCAGGAACAAATCCTGCAGCACGCAAAGCAAATCGACAAGCCTTTCTGACTACATATTTTGCCTCATTTCGAAATTCTCCCAGGCGTTCTGTCACCTAGATATTGTTGAATATGTACAGTTAGTGATACTGAAGTATCAAAAATAGGGAAAAAAGCTTTGATTCTTATAGACAAAATTTGTTACCTCTGCTAGCCGTATGACTTGTGCGGCCTTAAATTCCTGCAGGGTGTACGTGTGACACTTTTCAATATAACAGAGTCCCATAAAACTCAAATAATAACACAATTCATTTATTTTAAGAAGAGCTGGTCGCAAATGCTGAATGAAAATAGGAATTTATTATTTAGTAAAAATATTCTGTACTTTAAAAGTATAAACATTCAAAAAGCAAGAATGGTTATTAAGGATAATAAACACCTCTGTGTGTGAACTTTTGCTACAATTACAAAATACATACGTTAAAAGATCACTTCTATAACTCTTTTCTAAAAGTATTCCTTGAATTATCAGATTTAATTTGTCTGAATTCCTTTCTTTTGATTTTGAAAACACATACATGCCTTTCAGCTATTTAAGGAATACGGCAAGTGATTTAAGGAATTGAGGGCAAGTAATAGAAAACTGGGTGTTACCTTAAGTACTTTACAATGTCCAGTTATAATGATAATGGAAAGGCCCATCTATTAACTTAAGAGGCTAGGACACAGAAGAAAGTCAAATTTAACATTAAATTGTTATTGGGTAACAAGTTGCTTAGGAAAACTGCTCCATGTTTTCTCAAAAGGTTAAACATAAAGTTGCTAATGACCCAGCAATTCCACTCTTACGTACGTGCCAAAGAAAAATGAAAACATATGTCTAGACAAAAACTTGTACATGCATGTTCATAGCAGCATTATTCATAATAGATAAAAAGTGGAAACAATCCAAATATCCATCAATAGATGGACAAATAAAATAGGTATATCCAATATAATTTGCCAACTTTTAAAAATACTATGCTACAACATAGAAGAAGAACCTTGAAAACATTATGTTAAATAAACAAAGTCAGTCATAAAGGACTACATACAGTCCTTGTGTATCCTCGGGTTCCACAGTCATGGATTCAACCAACTGTAGATTAAAAATGTAGTAGGGTATACAATGCTTGTGTCCATATTAAAGATGAATAGACTTTTTGGGTCATTATTTTCTAAACAATATAGTATAATAACAATTTACATAGTATATACATTGTATTAAGTATTAAAAGTAATTTAGAGATGACAAAGTATATACGAGGATGTTTGTAGGTTATATGCAAATACTATGCCATTTTATATAAGGGACTTGAGCATCTGTGGATTTTTGGTATTTGCTGGGGTGGTCCTGGAACCAGTCCCCCAAGACACTGAGAGCCAAGTGTATTGTATGATTCCATTTATGTGAAATCTACAGAACAGGCCAGTCTATGGAGATAGAAAGTAGATTAGTGGTTGCCTATAATTGGGGGAAGGGACAGGAAGGTCAGAAAGAAATAGAGTGACCACTAAAGGGTAATGAGGTTTCCTTTGGAGCGATGCATATATTCTAAGATTGACTATGGTAATGGTTGATCAATTCTGTGAATATACTAAAAATAACAGAATTGTGTACTTCCGATGTGTGAATTGTATGGTATGTAAATTATATATCAAAACTGTTATAAGGAAATGATATGGCACAGGTGCCAACAAAATTGGTTATTTAAAAAAAATCATAAAAAGAAAACAAGGACAGTATGTCTCCCTTCAACCTTTTCTAGGGGAATCAGCCCTAGTTAACTAATTATAAATATAAGACTAGTGGTAAGTGTGTGGGTGATTACAGCATTTAATACATACTTAAATGACTGCAATGATTCTGTTATTTAGGCCAATCCTTGCTTAAAAGGATGAGAGCTTTCTAGTCTGCTGGGACTAAATTTAAGAGAAGATACTATAAAGGCTGAAACACCACTGGTATGAATGATGGACACAGAATGAAAACTCTCAGCACAATAAGAGAACATGCCTCAAGGATTGATAGAAGACAAATCAAGAATGAACTATTTTACATACCTAGCAACACATGTATGATATATGTAGTGTTCAAGACATGGTAAAAGATGAAAGATGGTAAAAGAACTTCAAATGACTGATGGATCCTTAATGAAATTTGAGTTTCATGTCAAGAAGGACTGGAATATTTTTTCACAATTCAGAATGCACAATGGAATGGATGACTTGAGATAGTCTATCTTATATATTTGTCTTGTACTAATGTTTATGTTAGCCAGAGACCTTGAATGTTTTCCTATTGTGTGACTGGCATGTTGATAACAGTCTTTCATATTACTAAATGCAAAGTGAAGGAAATGACTAGTTAAAAGCAAACTTGGGATACTATCACAGAAATAGACAGCTGAGGACCAGAACTCTGAGTGTGACGGTAATGATGATTGCAGTTTATTTCTAGGGGCCAAATAAGAAACTTCTAATGCAAGTTGAAATTCAATAGATAGAAATTTTAAATATGGTCACACATTTTTTCACAGTTTTGTTTTCATGATTGCCCCGTTGTCCAAAGTAAATATTAAAAATTTTCCTACAGTATGAATCCATTGTAAAGGAAACGTATGATATATTGGGAGGTACTGACCCATGAAAACAAGGCCCTGACTTATTTTGGACTATAAAGTCTAGAGTGTCTCAAAGATGAGGGGAAGTAATAGAGGTTACCAGCCTACTCTGCTCAAAATGACATATAACTTTCCTAATCAATAACAAAGGGGATCACAAATCCAAAAACTCTGAGGTGACTTCTAATCAAAAGGGACCTGTCCAACTCTCTTCTATTTTTGCATTTTGCAACCCTAGTTAAAATGTAGAAACACCCCTAGATTGCTAGACTCCTAAATGACAATACAGGATGAAAACTGGGAATTCTCTTAAGAATATAAAATATTTGATTTCAAGAACAGTCTATACCAACAGCTATAATAAATTCACACTTTCTTTTTTTGTAAGTAATTATTTTAAAATATGAATGATAAATACATACAGGATTAACAATGAACAAATTTTTTTGTAGAGATTTTCGACATCCGGTGATTTTCTTGGAGCGGACATTCTTCCTCCACACACTAAAAGCCTTCCATTTCCGGAACAGTGAAAATATGGGAATCTTAGTGAGTTCTCTGTGATATAGATATTCCTGTTCCCATCGATCAATTTCTATAAATTCAATGTCTTCATTATAAATGTGTGTTACTGCCCTTTGGCTAATAGTATAGTAGTCATTTTTATTGATGTTCTCATAACTTACAACTCTATAAACAAATAAAAATTGGGACTAATAAATAAAGTATTCAATACAAAATGAAGCAATTGCATTACTTTTTTATTCTACAGAGATAAAACATTTCTGGAAAGCAAACATTATTTAAAGTTAAAAAATTCTAACCAACTACTTTCAGATTAAATATATTACTCCAGAAAATGAGTTAAACAAGTTGGGCTTATTATAAAGATTTCACAACTGTGGCAATATGCTTGATGATTTCAGTTACATGATTTTTACATTAAAATGAATTGACTATAAATTATTAAAATTTAATAGTTCTACATTAAAACTATCTGGAGCCAAATTTTTATCTATTATTAACTCTTCAGGAACTATTCAATATTAATAGCATAAAAGAATTTTACACTATCAAGTCAGGACAGAATTATGAGAAAGGTAAAAGTAAGGAAATATTAATTAGGTGAGATAAGAATCAAGACCAATATTATATGCCCAATTTATCACCAACAAAATATTTATTATTGATAAATTGTTTAGTTCATCATATTTCTCTTTCAACTGTTGTCATGGACATTTTTCAACTGTATGAGTAACAGAAAACTGATCAAGTAAAGAAAAGAAGCAAGAACAAAGTAAAAACAGAAGAAAGGATAGGAGAAAGAAATGAAGCAATGAAAATAGGGCTGATTCTCTAAAATTGCTTAAAATAAAATTTTTCCTACAGCAAAACGATATTCTCTGTAAGTTTAGTTATAATGCTGAAATATTGAATGCAAGAAATATTCAGTAATAGAACAAGTGTGAAATATGATACAGCATCTTATTAAAATATATTTAGGAATTTAGGAAAACAATATTTTTCTAAAATGTTTCTGTTAGGAGAGCTTAGTAAAATAAGATAAAGGTTAAGGGCAAAAACAAAGCCCTAAATTATTTCTGTGTTAAAACTATGCAAAAATTACATGTGCTGCAGAGAAATTAGACAGGAACACTCCAGTGAAAATCAGCTATCTTCCACATCTTTCAGTCCTTGGCTCTACATTCTGAACCTGGAGTCCACGGTCATTTTATATTTTATTTTATTCCATCCCATCCCATCCCATCCCATCCCATCCCATCCCATCCCATTCCATTCCATTTATTTCTACTACTACTATTAATATGATTATCTTTGAGATGGAGTCTCACTCTGTTGCCCAGGATGGAATGCAGCCATGTGAACTCGGCTCACTGCAACCTCTTCCTCCCGGGTTCAAGAGATTCTCCTGCCTCAGCTTCTGGAGTAAGTGGGATTACAGGCGCCCGCCACCATGCCTGGCTAATTTTTATATTTTCAGAGAGA